TCGTTGCCGCGGCTCGGCACTCCGAAAACAAAGCTCCACTTAATGCACGACTCCGGCAGCGAGTTCTCGTGGGTGGATGACCGCCAGCCCGGCGAAATCGACAACCGTTTCGACCCTCGATCCTCTTCCACCTTCTCCAGGGACGTCCGTGCTGGCGTGCTTGATCGTTTGGATTGGCATCGATCGACAGCAGCGGCGGCGGCGCTAGGAGTAAGAAGAAACGAAGGAAGAAGGCAATGAGATCTGAAGGATTGGGGATCGGAAGAGAAGGATAGAGAAACACACTTTTCTTCCTTCTTTATTCTATCTTTTATTTTTTAATTTTCTTGTAATTTTACGCTTATACCCTTGTTGTTACAGTAACAACAAAAGGGGTGTTGTTATTCTATCCGAGCCCTCCTCCCAACCCTCACAGCCGCCTCACTCCCATCTTTCTCTCATCTCTCTCTCTCTAGATCAAAGTGAACGGCCGCCCTTCCTCCATCGATCCCCAAAGACACCACCATCATGGATTTCGACTTGTTGTTGCATCCATAGTAGCGTCTCCTCCGTCTTTCGCCGATGCTTCGAGTCATCGCCATTTGTGGGGGGAATCCTCCATTGGTAGAGGTGTTGATGTGGTGATCTTCCATCCTCCTATGATTTGAGTCGTCATCACTGGTTGATGTGTACCTCAAAATCGAATCAAAGCTTGTTGTCCAACGGTATGTGCGCGTCGTCTTCCGAGTCTGCATTCGAAAGTTTGGAGAAGATGGAGACGAGATCGGCTAAGACGGTGGGGGAATCCTCCATCAAGACAGCGGCAACGAGAGAGGGAAGCAGCAGAAGTGGGTGAGGGGAAGCGGCGGTGGTGCTGGTTCCAGATCCAAGATCTTTTAGGAAAGCGGTTGACTTGATATTGACAGTAGTGATTTTCGTAGAGATTTTGGGAAGCTTCAGAGTGGTTTTTGTTGTTTTTAGTTGTGATTTTGGTAGTAGTGATTTTATATGTATTATTAGTATTTTTAATAATAATGAGTAGTGATATTTTGTAACTATTAGTAATGTTTTTATAGTGACATTTATTAAATTGTTTTATTCTCTTCATTTTCAGTAATGTTTTTTAAAAAAACATCAATTCCTACTAATTAAAAAATGCTACTGATGATAATAAAATCATTACTACCTAGTATTTTTTTTAACATTTATTTTTTTACGCAGAATATCTACTAGAGAGAGAAATTGATATTTTAAAATTTAAATTTTTAATTTTTTTTTTAGATTACCTAATATATCCTCCACTACAATCCACCGTCTGTTTCACTTTAAAATAATGGACGATAATGAGAGTGGTTAGCATGATGCTAATCACTATGCAGTTAGCACTGTAACCTCTCCCGAATGAAACAGTGTGTTTTTATTTTTGCAAAAAGATAATCTTGTATTGATTAATAAGAGATCAAACAAATTACACCATGGTATACAAATACCAAAAAAAAAAAAAATCAAAAGAACGACATGTAGTCGGATACAAAGAAATGACCTTTCTAGCGACCAAGTAGGGATGCAAACGAGCCGAGTCGAGTTTTTGCTTAACTTGAGCTCGGCTCGTTTGTAATTTTTCAGCTCGAGCTCGAATTTTGATAATCCAGCTCGATTAAAAATAATCCAGCTCGAACTCGACTCGGTAGAGTTCGGTAAATGCTCATTAATACATCTTGTCAAGTTGAGTACAAGTTCGGCTCAAGATGAGCTTGATCTGACATCATTCTTGTTGAAAAATGTGTACATATAAAAAATTTAAATGATAAAAGAACACTAGAAACTAAAAATAACAGCTAACTTCCATACAAATCTGTATTAACAAGATAATGTTCATGTTCAGTAGAGTAATTTAATCCTTCTGCAAGCTCTAAACAAGCCAGCTCGTGAGCTTAGCTCAACAAGCCACCCAGTCAAGCTAGCTCACTAACTTATCAAGCTGAGCATAGTCTAGCTCAAGCTTGGCTCATCTACTAATGAGCCGAGTGTCAAACGAGTTTTTTTCGATTCGAACGCCGAGTTGCTCGCGAGCGGCTTGATTCATTTGCAGCCCTACCACCAAGTGGGCTACCCGATTGTTATTCCGGCCTACAAATCGTACAGTAAGACCATTATAATTTGCTAACAAACCACGAACTTTCTAAAAAATCACTCCAAAGCATGGCTGTCACGCCGGCCGGCGTGCCACTGGTTGAACCGGTACCGGTCGTAAAACCGACGTGACATCACCGGTATGACCGACATGATCGATATACGAATCTCTAAGTAAAATGACCTTATTTTAGTGAATTTAATTGATAAAAATTATTTTATTATTTATTTTATGAGTATAAAAGTTAAATATTGGTGTTATTTGTTGGATTCAAGTACAAATATTTAGGTATTGACGTTAAATGTCATCTTTAAATATGAGTATTTTATAATTTAATTTGTAATATTGACCAGCATGAACCGGCACAAACCGGTATGTGCACCAGTCGAACCATTCCACTTGCTAAACCGGCACACTGGCATAAACCGATTTGACAACCTTGCTCCAAAGTGATTATCTTGTTCATCAATATGATTTATCTTATCGATAAATAAAACACATCAATCACACTGGGTAGAGAGGTATAAATCCTTTCATACACATCAATCACATTACACGTTATCCTCAATTCACGATCATGGATTCCAAAACAAATTAAGTAATAGTGTATCAAAAACAAATCATAAAGCGTGTTGCAGGAATCATTGTTTAAAGTTGAGTTATAACTTATATGTTAGAAACCAAGCGACCCCGCCGGAGCCAAAAAGGTAAGAGGGAAAAACCCAGCTGACCGCCGGAAACTGAAACACAAGCCAAATCCCCAGCCAAGAGACAGCGAACGGCAAATTGAGGAATACCAGTCTTGGTTGTCTGCATACACCGAATCACAAGCCATTCTGCAATTTCCCCCAATTTGATATAATCTTTCACTCCGTCCGTGTCTCATCAAAACTAAATCTCTTCCCGCGGAGTCTCAATCTCCCCTTCCCTTTTGTGGGTGGATTTCATGATCCCCATCGCCAAAATGGGCGACTCCGCAGCTCAACCTGAGAACGCCAAGTTTCTTCATCTGGTAATTGAAAACCAACTACCAAAGCTTCTATATTTGCAACGTTCGGGTAGTTTACAATGGCATCCCCAATCTGGGTTTTCGTGTAGGTGCGGCATGCGCAAGGCGTCCACAATGTTGCAGGAGCCAAGGATCATAGCGCTTTGATGTCTCCCGAATATTTTGATGCTCAGCTCTCCCCGCTTGGATGGCAACAGGCGAGTTAAATTTCCACCTTCAGGGGGGAAAAGAAAACCCAAGTTTCCACTTTTAGACATTGTTATCCCCCCTCTATTAGATTCTGAAGCTCTGGAATTGAAACACCTTTGACAGGTTCAGGATTTGAGGAATTACGTGGTTTCATCTGGGATCCTTGGAAAAATTCAATTAGTCATCACCTCTCCTCTCTCGAGGTTAGAATTTCTTGGTTTTTCAGTGTGTTCTTCAGTTTTTTGAGTTGATTGTGATCGAGAATGGATCGGGTTTGGCAGGACAATGGAAACTGCAGTCAGGGTGTTTGATACAAAGCCCAACAGAGCAAGTGTACAAAACGGTGGTGATGCTGAAGAAATGTCAGATCTTAACTGCCCACCAATTTTGGCGTATGAACTTTGTCGAGAAAGATTGGTAGGTCCTATTACAGAGAACCCAATTGGAAGTATATGAACTTTTACCCCAAAAGTGGGTTTGCTTGATGATTTCCGTCTTTGTATAATGCTGCAGGGGCTTCATCCTTGTGACAAGAGGAGGACTGTCACGGAGTATCGGTCTCTTTACCCTGACGTTGATTTCTCATTGGCAAGCACTACTTACTAATATGATAATATCATTGACAATGACTGTTCAAGGTTTCCACCTTTTGTATCTGAAATTAACTGCTCCGAAATTTGTTGTCTTGACAGATAGAAAGTGATGTTGACGTTATGTGGACGCCTGATGTTAGAGAGACCTTTGAGGAGGTTGCAGCCAGGGGCTTGAAGTTCATGAGCTGGTATTTTCTTCCACTGTTTAATTGGTCTGCAAGCTTGTTCACTGCATAATTTTTGCCAGAAAACTTAGCGTAGTAATGACCTTCTACTACTAATCATTTTTCATCATTATACGGCTCTGAACCAGAGGAATGACGTTGGTGTGATTGGATTTTTCAGGTTATGGACACGACCAGAGAAGGAAATTGCGATTGTTTGTCATGACAGGTTCTTGCAGTATACCTTAGAGGCTTTGACCAACGACTGCCAGCCATCATTGAGGGCTGAAGTATCCGCACAGTAAGTATTTCCCAATAGTTTAGGGCTAACTCACGCCAGGGTTCATTTTCCTTGTGAGAAATCTCATTTCATGCACAATTTGTGTTGTCTTTTTGTCAACGACTAATGGTTGCTTGCTTCTTCGATTGTTTCATTTCCAGATTCAAGAATTGTGAACTTCGGTCCCTGATCACTGAGAATGAAAGGTAAAAGTCTCATTCTCTAGTGATCTTATTAATAACAACACATATTGATCAACCCTGACCGAAATCTTTGCATCTCTTTCTGCTGGAAAAATTCACAGGGTTGTGTCATGCCTTGGCAAGTTCCTCCCAAGTGATTCTGCAAACTAGGAAAAAGCCAGCTCAACATACTTAGCATCCCATTCTGGAGAGAATATACCTTCAAGGACTGGTTAGTCCTTTTTGTAAAGAAAGGATTTGATCTTGTGAAGAAAAACTAGTGAAATTGGCAAGTTTGTTATGCTGATTAGTGACAGTATTCACATTCAGGGTGTTATATTGTGTTCATATGTGTGTTAAGAGAGCTTATTATAACTCCAAATCTGATCAATTGGCCATGACTGGGTTCCAGAGTCGGAGCACATGATTTCCATTAATGTCAGTAATAGATACTTGAAGCTAGGAAATAGAATGAAGTTCAAAGTTAATTGTATCACTGCAACTTTTCAAACAGAACATTCTCCCAGAATCTGAGCTAGCAGTCAGTAGGGTTTATTAATGGTGCTGCTCTTCTTTCTTGCCATTGCTGCTGTCTCTATCAGGAAATTTAACAGGATCTGAACCAATGATGCTGAGAATGAAAAGGCAAAAAAGAAATGTCAGGAAAAATGAGGGCTTTATCTTTAACAGAAGCTTCTAATTTTTTTTTTCTTCTTCTTTCTTGCAGAGGAGATATACATATACTCACCCTTTGTCCACCAGAACTATTGAATGAAGCTGACAATTGGCAAATCTGCATGTTAAAAAGGCAAAAAAAAAAAAATCTTTATATCAGAAAGAGCAGCAAAAGAGAGTTTCTCAAAAGCTGATGCTGTGGAATTCATTGTAAAACCTGATGCCAATTTCACTCTTCACAGTTGGATGGCAGTCATTTCCAAACAGGCTCAACATGTCCTGCAAGAACCCACCATGGCTGACAACCGCAATCTCCTTCTCTTTTCTGGTCCAAATCCTGGAGAATCCAAAGAAGGAACCTTTTTCAGACCCACAAAACCCCTAACACTGTCTTGTGAATGAAGTAAAGTACATAACAAAACAGATTTTGTAAAAATTGACACCAGTTCAAGAATTGTATTGCTCTGGCAGCAACTTCTTCAAATGTTTCCCTCTGCCCGGGTTTAGGCAATGTGTCTTCATCACTTTCGATCTGCACACACACAGAGCATTAACGAGAATATTCAGAGCTATAAAAAAAGCATATTTTTTCCAATAATGGTGTTGGTGTTTTGTGGTTTACTTGCCAGAGAAAAATCAACAGCAGGGAAAAGAGGGCGGGATTCCGTGATGCTTCTTCTCCAGTCACATGGATGAAGGCTCTGTTAGTTTGGTGAAAAGAAAAATATCATGTTCACAGGATCCACTTTCCTATTTTCCCCCTCTTTTTGGTCCTTGTCAATTGTTGCAAAAAGCCAAGGTGAAGCTGAGACAGACTAATCATTACTAGAATCTCATAAAGAGAAGCCAGGAACAACAAACCAAATGTTCCCTGCAGAGCTCAGTTGCCAGAAATGGAGGGCAGTCGAAGCTTGAAATTGCAGGGGAAGCACTATTGCCAGCATTGGCAACCATCAATGGAAGGTGTTGATAACAACCCTTCTCATCTCCATCCACATACTCTTCACCTCCAAACACCCCAACTGCAGTTTGCATAGCCCTAAATAGCCATCATCAATCAAATTGACAATATCAAAGCACGTAAAAACAGGAACCCAGTATTCGTTTCAGTACCTCAACAAACTAGAAGTGACGACCAGTTGGATTCTGGAATAAAGGCCAGATTGGCGAATGTGGGTTCTGAGATGGGTCACCTGGCGCCATCCCAGTTGGGTGAGATGACCATCTAAGAGGTCGGGAGAGAAATAGGCAGACGGGTCTTTCTCGCCCTCCACGTTGTGGATCCCTTGCGCATGTCTCACCTGCTCAAAAGTTCCAATCAAATTAGCTTCTGCAGCAGTTCCTTCGGTGGAGATATTAAGGGAAAGAAGACTGCAAAAATATGTTGACTGCAGAAGAGAGACCAGATGAAGAATTTTAGTGCGGTGTAATGGATACAGAGTTGAAGTGGGACCGCCGCCCTTGGTAATATCATCCTCCATCTATTTTCTGGCGCTGCTGCCACCGAGGTTTTATGAAGCCGCCTGTGATAATAATGGAGATGGCATCAAGAAGTTTTCTTTCTGTTTTCTGATGGGGGTATTTTTACTTTTGATCTGATTATCATTGATTAAACTGGCAAACCTGGTGCAGAAGCCAAAGATTATGCCACCAACTTTCTTGCAGACTGGAGGGGCTTTCAGGGCTTGACTTTTTCTTTTCCTTTCCGGGCCTAGCGATTGGTCATCAACCCATCAGTGCAGGAATTTGGTCATGCCTCGTCTTATCTAACTTCCGGCCCATTGTTCACAATGGACATTGATGGCAAGTTGGTAAGGGTGCTTCCATCTATACGTGTCAAAGTGAACCCGTCGGGTTGAAGCGGGTTGCACTTTTTGGTCTTTTCCCATTTTAGTTTTGATACCAATAATTCTACGGTTCCAAATTCCTAAGTTTCTGTGTTTCATATCTTGTTTTTTGAGAAGTCTAAATCGTCTCTTTATTTTTAAAAAGCTTACTAAAGAGTCTAATCATTCTTTCTTTTCCTTGTTTTCTGCAACAAGTCTCATTCTTTCTTTTTCTTTCATGGAATGGCCCAAATAAAGGTGGTTAATTTTCATTTTGTTGTTTTTGGTTTATCTATTTTCTAGTTTCTGCTTTATTTTGTTTAGACTAGTTATTATATCGGTAATTAATTCAGTTTTAGATACGGCTTCCTCTAATGTTTCTGAATTTCCGATAGACATTTGTTCTTCTACAATATCTGATACGAAGTGAGATAATTCTAACGTAACCGTATTAATGTCGCCTACTGATGTAAGGTCTATTGCATCTATTCCTTCTATCAATTTATTTATGTAATGAGTGTTAGGCATCTTTACAAATTTTCACTCATTTCTACGATTAGTTCTTGTAACTTTTTTATTTCACTAGTATTATCATTTTGATGAAGTATAGTTATGTTTTTTATTTCCTTGTTTTCTTCTTTCTCCATTTCCTTCTGCTTATCGGTTAATCTCATGGAAGAACTTCTCTCATCTATACTTATTCTTGGATGATCATAATTTGATTTTATTATTTTTAGAGGGGATTCTAATTGAATTAATGGTTTGAATAAATCTTCTATGGTGATGGCTTCCTTATCTTTAAACGCTAGACTATGATGACTATTGGTCAGTGCATAGTTTATTTGGTATGTTACCGAAAAAGGTTTACTGTTTTCTTTCATGAAATTTTTTCTTTTCAATTCATACTTTATAATAATGGAAGAGTCGAGATTCCCATCTGTTAAACTAATTCCTTGTTGTAGATTAATATCGAATTTGATTATTCCTACTCCTAGATTTCCTTTTCCTTTTGCAATAATACTCTCTTCTCTATTGATGAGTCGATCATCTCTTATTTCTAGTTCTATAGGTGCACTTATCCATGTTTTCATAGTAGATTTTAGAATGATTTGTATCGTGCTAATGTGAATATAAGCTATTTTATTTCTTTCTTCCTGTTGTAACTTGGATAATTTTTTCCTAATTTGTTCCCTATTTATTATTTGAATTAGGAAATCTCCCTTAGTTTGTTCTATTGGTACTGCCGTTTCTCCTATCATTTTTCCATATTTAATTATATTTTTTCTATCAAATAGTTTGGATAAAAAAGACTTAGTAATAAAATTTTGCGTTTCTGATAAGGTAAAATTAGTTTGTTCATTATTTTTCTTGACATCTAATATTCCATCTAGAAAATAATTTTCTTCCTCATTTTTACTTAAATAATCAAAGTAACTGTTACTGCTACTAGGGTTATCCGACATACCTGATCGTTGCTTAGGTTGATTGATGCAACTTCTTGCTACTGAACGTCCCCAATGATGGTGTGGTGCGAGGGAGGCTGATTGCTTATGATAGTTGAAAATGGTGTTTGGAGAATTCTTTGTGGTGTTAATGGTTGGTGTATAGTTTTTTATGGATATGTGGTAGCAGATATGAGCGTCTCCAGAGTATTATCTCAAACGCTCTGTGCCGAAGCACCAAGACTACACTTAGTCTTTTGAGAGAGAAGTCTCAAGCTTTTATTCTACTCTGCCCCCTTATGAGGTTCAGATGTACATATTTATAGATGCAGGAGCGTTGCCTGCTTACATATGTAGTTACATCATTCTCCACTTAGGAAGAGAAAAACAAACACACGTTATAGACTACAGTCTACAGTCTACATTATTGATCAAAAGAGAAAAACAGACACACTTCTTTAGTCTTTTTCTTTTTGATGTGTCATCCTTGTCATCTTCTCCTTTAGTTATTTTCTTCTTTTACTTTGCCCTTGCCTGATGCATAATGCATTGTCTTCTTTTCTTTAGTTGATGTTGCCTTTTGATTCTTGATGCTTTGTCTTCTTGCCCTTGGTGGATTACATTTCTTTGATTCCATTACTGCTATTAGTGGAGGTAGTCATATCTGCTGCACAGTGGGTGCATATGTGATCCTCGTGTAGCTGCAATAATTCACAAAGTTGCTGTTTTTGTTCCGACGTTAGTTGGGCTAACGTCCCTTCTAGATTGATAAAATCCTTGGCTAGATCTGTGATGAATCCCCATTCTTCTGCTGTGATCTGGTTTTTAGAATTGCTGATGATGATCTTATTGGTGCTGGTATAGTTGACTTTAATATTATCTGTTGGGTTAAGATAATATAGGGTCTGACTTGCTGAATATAATGATTTGACTTGATAGTCTTCTGGTATCCTTGCTGTCTCTAATTCATCTCTGGTTGGATAGTTGCCATTAGATACTCCCATTTTGATGATTGCTTTTGATGGCACGACCATTTCCTCCTTGTTGAATACCGGATAGCTGGATGTGTATCGCAGATAGATTTCTCTACCCTTGGCGAATGAGTCTAGATACCTTTTTACGACTGTCTTGAACTTTTTTGGGAATTCTTCGAAGATATAAGTCTTCTATGTGTATATTGTGTCGATTAATCCATATTGATGGAGAGCAAATAGTGTTGTTGGTGCGATTTTATCTGTGATGATGACTGCTCTTGGTCCTCCCTTAAAGGTTGGATAGAAGCCCATGGTAGTGTGCATTTCCTTGTAATTGAGAAGATCTTCCCAGCATTGTTGGAATTTTTGAAGTGTCGGTCTATTGATTTCTTCCCTTTGCTTCGTGGTTGGAATATCCTTAATGCTGATACTTGGTATCTTCATCACTAATTTTTGTTGGTGAGTGGCTGACTCTGTCTTCTGTTTCATAGCAATTGCCTTGTATGATTCTTTTAATGCCTGTTCTGCTTCTTCTTTGGTTGAAAATGATTGGTGTTTGATGTTTTATCCCATAACATGGTGAGATACTATTGCCCAGTTGTTATAGAGTCCTCGAAAAGGTCCGTCGTAAATGACATACCATTTTCCTTTCTTTTATTTTCTTTCGTCTTCTTCGTTTTTCTCGTCTTCTTCTACCATGTCTGACCATTTTGTAGATGATGGTATGTCCTTTTCTGGTTGTGTATTTTTTCCTGTAAATGGTAGCTGAATAGTTTGCTGATGCATAACATTTTGTGGTTGAGTAGTGCTTTGCAGAATGGTGATGGTGGTCCTTATCTGCTCTAATTCCCCCCGCCGCTGAGAAAGCTGGACTTCGAGGGCACGTATCTGCTCTTCCTTCTGCTGTTGCTGATGCTGCATTTGCTTGATTATCCCTTCCATTCTCGTGTAAGAGTGTCTGCTAGTGGATTGGTTGTTGATTTGATATACTTCAAATATGGCCGATAATAGTGAAGTTGTTGTTGCCAGCGAATAAGTCTTCCTTTATTGAAGTCCGCATCCAGTTTGTATCTCCAAAAACCTGTAACATATTTAGAGTCGGTTCGTAATTGGAATCGACTGGTCAGTAATTCTAGTTTCCATTTTTTCAGTGTTCTGAGACAGGCTAGTGTCTCTAGCTCATGTATTGGGTAGTTTCTCTCAGTGGAAGAGAATGTTCCAGATATATATTTACATAACTTCTTTGTATATTTGTCTGTATCGAATGGTATTGTATAGTCATATTGTTTTGAATCATTCGATTCATTACTGCATCGAGATAGTGGTGAATCGTTCGATTCATTACTGATATAGGGTGAATCATTTTATTCATTGCTAATTATATTGCCATAGTGATCAAGTGATAGTAATTTTTTGCCTTCTGGTATTGCAAGCATGCAACCTGCCCATGTATCCCTTGTTGCATCTGTCTCGACAATAAGAAAATCTTGATCGCATGGGTTATATAATTTTGGTAAATGATCACAACTGGCCTTCATAAATCTTACCACCTCTGTGTCCTTATCATCCCATTTCCAAGGTATTTTATCTGATATTTTTTGCTGAAGATATTTTCTTTCCTTTGCTAGATTTTTTAGAAATCCCTGTTCACTGATATAATTCAGGCTTCCTAGAAATCGTTGTATTTGTTTTCTATTTTCCATTCTATCTGGAAATTTATCTAATTTTTCCTTAACATTAGTGGTTAGTTCTATTTCTCCTGTACTATTTATTTTCATTCCCAAATACTCAATTTCATTGACTAACAATTTAGATTTCTTTTTTGAAATTATCAGTCCCTTTTCTTTTAGTCTTTCCAAGACTTTTATTAGTTTTTCTTCATGATCTATCCTATCTTTATTTGAAAAGATAATAATATCATCAATGTATGCAAAAATCTTCCAATCCTTCTAGATTTTTATCCATAAATCTCTGATAAATTCCTGGGGCTTGCTTAATTCCAAATGGTAACACATTCCATTCATAATGTTTTTGTGGTGGACATGAAAAAGCTGTTAAGGGTTTTGTATTTTCATGGAGCCTTAATTGCCAATATCCTGATTTAGCATCTAGGCTACTAAACCAAGTTTGTCCTTTCAATCGTTCCAGAATATAATCTTTTCTTGGTAATTTATAACTGTCTCCTATAGTGTGTTCATTGAGTTTTTTGTAATTTATTACCATACGTCTTTTTCCCCTTTTAATTTCATTATTATTTTCTACATAGAATGCCGGAGCACTATGCGGACTTTTACTTTCTCGAATAATATTTTTACTGAGTAAATCTCCACATTCTACTAGAAATTCTTCTACATCTCTTTGAGTATATTGTATTTTATTAGGAACATTAACTTCGATATTTGGATCTTTTAGTTTAATTTCTATTAATTCTGAATTTGTATTTTTTGTATTATCTAAAGGGTGTTCACTACAGACTTCCTCTAGTTTTTCTTCAACTATTCCGTAGGCTACTTGGATATATTCAAGCTTATTTTTAAGTCTTTGTAAGACAGTTCTTAATACTTCGTTTTTTGTTATTATCTTGGTGGTAACGATTTTTTACTCTTGATTTTTCATTTTTGGAGCTTTTAGACTTATACTCTTAATTCTTTGAGTAAATGGTTGATATAGTTTAAGAAAATTATTTCCTATTATTATGTCTAATCCTGAATCATGAAGATATATTGTTTTGGCAGTAAATACATATTGTTCTATAATGATAGGCACGTAATGTTTTACATACCAGATTTCATGGATAGATTTATCTGCAACGATAATTTTTAATGGTTTATCTAATTTATCCCAACCTCTAATGGTCGATCTTTTTGCAAAACACAGTGTTGCTCCTGTGTCTATATATGCCAGAAGATTCTTATTTTCAATAGTAACTTTTATGAATGTTGCGTTCGGGTTATTTTTAGCTAGAATCTTCTTCTGACTCATCTGAAAATATTTCTAAATCTGTAAGATATTCAATAATTTCTATGTCTGATAGTTCAAAATCTGTTTCTTCTATAGGTTCGAATTCACAATCATATGCTATCCTTAGAACTTCCTGCTTCTTATTATTAGTGTTTTTCTTTGGGCATTTATTAGCATAATGTCCTTCTTCATTGCAGAGCCAGCATCTGCAATTAGTTTTGCCTTTAGGACAATAATCTTTCTGACTAGTTTTCTGTTTAAATTGTTTTCTGTTTCTAAAATACTTATTAGGGATTCTATATCTATTTTTTCTATATTCCTTATAGGGTATTTTTCGCCATTTTTTGTATTTTTCGTATCTCTGTTTTTTCTAAATTTTTGGTCGTTCATCACTACATCCGTATTTTCCGATTTTATCGGTGGAGACCTCACAGCAGAGGTCAATTTTAGCTTGCTTTTTTAGTTTTTCTTCATTACAGGCTCGTTTATGCCATTCCTGTAATGTTAGAATTCGTCCTCCTGATGTATCTGGTACTTCTTCCTTTTGAACTGCTTCATTAAAAGCAGTTTCTACTTTTTGTGCTACTATTAAAGGAAGCTTAGAAAAGAATAATTTATCTAAGTCTTTTCTTACTGACGGAATAACCTGATAATAATGTATTTTAAATTCGCAAATAAATGATTCTAAATAACACATATTGCAGATTCTTAAGTTAGTTAGGTGCCAAATAGCCTGATTACTCAGAGTTGCATTAGTTTCTTTTTCTCTTGGATATCTTCCTAGAAATTCATAGGTTAAAGCATTTAATATTTTTTCAAAAGTTTTTATAGCGTCATCCCCATATAGGGTTGTTTTTGCAGGAATATCCATTGCACTTAAATAGTGATAAACTGCTCCAGTGGTTTTGTATATTAAGAAATTAAATATTTCACTAGTTTGAAGTTTTCTTAATTCCTCGTTAGTTTGAATTAATAATCCTGTTCGATTTTTCCAGTCTTCTAATTCTTTTAATAGGTTAGTACTACAGTCTAAATCTAGAATATCTGAACTATTATAACTTGTTGTAGAGTATTTAGGAATGTATGAGTGAGGAATTTTCGTCCATTCTCCCCCCCCCCCCTACGAGGAGCAAAATAATTTTTATAAAGATATTCGTCAAAATTCATTTGACCGTCATTATAATCATTAAATCGTCTTTTATTTGATTTAGATGGGTTGGATGTTTCTCCTGGATTATTTTCTGTTTTCATATAATTTGTATATGGATTTTCATCACTACTGTAGTCTAGTACTACTTTATCATTTTCAATGTGGTCTTCGTTATCTGATTCAATACTTAAGGCCATTAGTAAATCAT